GTTTTAAACTATACATTATTAGTAATAAACCAATATTGGTTTTTAATATTTTTATTAATAAAATTAACAATGTTTTATTTTTTGATTTTGAACTCAATAAACAAACACTGGGTTTAATTATCTTTCCGAAATTATTTTAAAAAAGAGTTTTTTGAATGATTAATTATTGTTTTTATTCAGTTAAAGATTTTTTTATAAAATAGTTAAATTATTTAAAAGAAGTAATAATTTTTTTGTAAATAAAACCCCGTTATATTACGTTTATCTTATTTCAATTATCTGCTGAATTACAACGGTATATTCGGCAAATATTTATATATTTTCTTCAACAATTGGATTTCAAATGGTTTTGCTTCTTTTGTGTTCCTAAAAATGTTTGTTGCAAAAATTATAAAAAACAATATAATTTTGATCAAAAAAATCAGTTTAATCCAAAAATAATCTGCAGTTTTGGGACTGGATGATTTAGTAAACAGGCTTTTGATTAACCATGTTCCCAAAAATAATAAACAAAATAAATGCAAAAAAATCGGGACACCCCAGTACAGACTCTTGAAAACCAGTTTACTAAAATTTTTTCTAAAAAATCGCATAAACCTCAAAATTTCACATAAGGTTTAATGAGCATACTGTAACTATTTTTACTATATTAAAAAGTTACATAAAATGCGCTCATGTAATGTTATTATTTTTGTAAAACATTTTTTTTACAAAAATAATTGTATAAATTATTTCCCAAAAAATTGTTTGATAAATTGTTTTCTTCTTTACAATTCACAAGATAATATCAACATTACTAACTTTCTGAGACAAAAAACAAGAACATCATCTCAAAAATTTAATAATTATTAATAAGCATTTAATTTATTAAAGATTATTTTTTAAAAAAGCACATTTATTTCTAATTGTGATGTTGTGACAAAACTAAATATTAATCACCATATTATGTCTGTTTTGGAATCATAGATTGTTTCTCATTTGTAATTGATCGAATCCCAAAATATTAGTATAATCATGGCCAAATCAAACAAAATATTGTATAGTATATTTACTATAAATTATAGTATTCAATTTCACTTTAAAAAATGGTAATTTTTATAGGTTTTGTCCATTCTCTCGTTTTTCCCATTGAAAAATGTAAATTTTTTAATTATTTACCAAATTATCATTTTGCCTCAAATTGCTTGTTATTTTGCCATTTCTATTATTTGTTTACAATTTTCATAATCTTTATACTCTTTTTTTGTTTTCCCCGAAAAATAGAGAAAAAAGTAATTATAATCAATTTTTTACTAATAATTATTAAAAAATAAACCAAGTTTTATCGAATTTTGGAAAACCTAAGTGTTCGACCTCCCCCAGTTCTGGAGACCGTGTAGAAAGCCAATTTCCCGTTTTTTAATAATTAACTTATTAAAAAAACAACTGGTTTAAAAAAATAATTCCAATTTACTATTGAAATGTTAATAAATGAATAAATCATTTGTAATCTGTTTTCCAAAACTCTGTACAGTCGGTCAAGTAAGCCTATAAAAATGAAAGAATGGTATAAAAACAAAGGTTTTGATATCAAATTTGGAGTATTTGAGTCTATTTTTGTATTTTAACAAGAAAAACATATAAATCCATAATCTACGTTTTATTTTTGGAATGTTTTGCTAATTTTCCCGCTTTTTTGGTTTTAAAAATATATTAGATAATATATTATATAATTAATAATATAATTCTGGGTTTTGTTTTTTTACCCTGGAAAAAATTAATAAACAGTATTATTTTAAAGTTTGACATGTTTTTATTCAAATTGACAAAAGAACAATGACCATATAAGTTGGAAATTGCTAAGGAGTGTGTAACAACTCACCTATCGAATGAATGTGCCCTAAAACTGTAAGGTATTATATTCAGAAAGAGTGATACTGTATTTTTGTGGAAACTGAGGCACATGAGTAGTAAGGAAATGCACGGTGTCAAGAATACGTGAGTGATAAAGGTAGAGAAGTAATTTTAATTGAAACAGACTTGAGTACAGATCTTGGTGGAAGTAGCAAATACTTAGAAGAGGAAATAAATATCTAAGGACTGAAGAGGAGAAAGGTTCCTAGACAACATTAATTGGAATAGGGTGAATCGATCCTAAAAGACAGGTGCAGATTTAGTAAAAGAAACTGAGCTTGAGAGAGCGTTTACGCATGAAAAGGAAAAAGACTAAAAGTTTTTTATCAATAGTCAAAAAGTCACAAAAAAACTGAAAGTGGTAATGAAAAATAAACTTTTGTATGGGGTATGACGGGAGCGACAAGAGATCTTTTTTCTTGTTAAAAATGAGGAATGGGCATTAAAATGAATCAATCAGAGGTATGAATCTTATACCCATGAAAAAAGGCGGTAGTTTTGTTATTGTACTGTGAAACTCAAAGACGGTCAAAATCAATTATATTCGCAAAAGAAAGTACTTAAATTATCGAAAGGAAAGAGCATCGTATTAATTCAATTTTTATTGTCTTCTTTTAAGTCTGTTCGGGAATTTTATAAGTAAATTTTAAATTTCATCTTGTTTATTATAATTAATATAATTAATAATTTTTGGTGTTTTTTCACAACTGTTTTGTTTTTACAAAAACCAGGGTTTAAATATATTGACCATTTATGCGGGGCAGACCTTTCCCACCCTCACCCTGTTTACCAAAATAAAATATTTGCCGCGAGTGTTTTTTGAAAGAAGTCCACTTTTCAGCCACTGTTTGTGCGTCCCCATGTCACCCACTTTCCTTGTCCGTACTGTGTGGATGCGGATGTGGTTCCCCCGCTTGCGGGGGGTCAGGGGGATCTGCGCCAAGGGAGGACTTGGAAAGTGGGTGAAACGGTGCACAAACAGACTGTTTGAGTGCGACTTTATGAGCCTTCTTTTCAATGCTCCGTCTCACTCGGTTTCCACTAACTCGAGGTGAATTTTCGGCATTTTTTGAATT